AAGAAGAAGAAGAAGAAGAAGAAGAAGAAGAAGAAGAAGAAGAACAAGGAGGAGAAGAAGAAGAAGAAAAAGAAGAAGAAGAAGAAGAATTCTAAGAAAAAGAAGAAGAAGAAGAAGAATTCTAAGAAAAAGAAGAACAAGAACAAGAAGAAGAAGAAAAAGAAGAAGAAGAAGAAGAAGAAGAAGAAGAAGAAGAAGAAGAAGAAGAAGAAGAAGAAGAAGAAGAAGAAGAAGAAAAAGAAGAAGAAGAAGAATTCTAAGAAAAAGAAGAAGGAGGAGGAGGAGGAGGAGGAGGAGGAGGAGGAGGAGGAGGAGGAGGAGGAGGAGAAGAAGAAGAAGAAGAAAAATGCCCTCCTGAAACCCAACATATTGAATTAGCTATGCGTACGGCCCTCCCATATATAGCACCGAAGCTTATGTATATGTACAGCCCTCTACTTCACATAATAAGTTAATACAGTGGAGTCCACTTATAACGAGTCCGGAAAAAAAGAGAAGTCTGTTATAAAGACACTATTCTAAAACCCCGTTTTTTTCTCCTCTTTACCTTTGTAAACAAAATACTGCTATAGCGCTATCAGAAACTCTTGCGAGTTGGTTATAGCCGAGTATTGCTGCTGCTGTACGCATGGCATAGGCCAGTTATACATAATGCAAGACCTCGCCAGTTGAGAAACTTGTTGCTGATCTTGCGAAACAAAGAACAGGAGAGCCCATGTGCGTCAACAATGAAGGCCGGAGCAACTGAGTAGGGAGGGTGTGGCATGCGCAGACAAGCTGGACGCATCGTGTTATAGGCCAGTTGAGATTATCAAGGCCGGCCATGCCTCTCACTTCTCCGATGCGGGGATGGAGAGGTCACAGCAATGTGATGGATGGAGCGAATGTGTGACGTGCGCAAGCAGACAGAATGCACCACAGGGTGGATTGTAGGGGGGAACACAACGTGTGAGTTAGCCCAGAGCCCTTTCTTTCTCATCACCAACGCCGAACTGTCAGTCCACATCACTAGATCTAGCGCTAAAGAAACAAACCTGAATCGATTTTTGATCAAGTAAGACCTAGAGGTCATGTTGAAACAAAATCATCATCAGCGGAGATAGCAAAAGGAAATAAACAGAACATCAAACTCATAGATTAGGCCTACTTTACAGTTTCCCTTGAATTTATTACTGGATCCCTTATAGCACAAGAATCCTGCTGTAACGGACGTTTTGCTTCAGTCCCATCCCTCTCGTTATAACAGGATTCCACTGTAAATAAGCTAGGCTTTTAGGAGGCACATGTATAAAACCATCAAACCAGACACTACAACTATAAGTGGACAAACTTAACCCTGGAAGGCTCTAAGGATAAAGGGCGTGAGCTGGGCTACCCGGGAAGCGTGCAGGCCCTATAAATAGAGATGACCAGTTAGACCGGGAAGCGCGCAGGTCCTATTTATAAGGGCATTATAGACACTGACCTTTTTCAGAGGAAAATTTCAGTATTCCTTATGGAAAATGACATAGTAAATTACAAGTCAAGGTTATAAAAATAGTGACCAATGACTTTGCAAGTTATCTTGACCTCGTAGAGCGTGCCACTACGGCTGGATCACGTCCATCGCCCGATGCCATTACGGCTGGATCACGTCCATCGCCCGATGCCATTACGGCTGGATCACGTCCATCGCCCGATGCCATTACGGCTGGGTCACGTCCATCGCCCGATGCCATTACGGCTGGATCACGTCCATCGCCCGATGCCATTACGGCTGGATCACGTCCATCGCCCGATGCCATTACGGCTGGATCACGTCCATCGCCCGATGCCATTACGGCTGGATCACGTCCATCGCCCGATGCCATTACGGCTGGATCACGTCCATCGCCCGATGCCATTACGGCTGGATCACGTCCATCGCCCGATGCCATTACGGCTGGATCACGTCCATCGCCCGATGCCACTACGGCTGGATCACGTCCATCGCCCGATGCCATTACGGCTGGATCACGTCCATCGCCCGATGCCATTACGGCTGGATCACGTCCATCGCCCGATGCCATTACGGCTGGATCACGTCCATCGCCCGATGCCATTACGGCTGGATCACGTCCATCGCCCGATGCCATTACGGCTGGATCACGTCCATCGCCCGATGCCATTTACGGCTGGATCACGTCCATCGCCCGATGCCACTACGGCTGGATCACGTCCATCGCCCGATGCCATTACGGCTGGATCACGTCCATCGCCCGATGCCATTACGGCTGGATCACGTCCATCGCCCGATGCCATTACGGCTGGATCACGTCCATCGCCCGATGCCACTACGGCTGGATCACGTCCATCGCCCGATGCCATTACGGCTGGATCACGTCCATCGCCCGATGCCATTACGGCTGGATCACGTCCATCGCCCGATGCCATTACGGCTGGATCACGTCCATCGCCCGATGCCATTACGGCTGGATCACGTCCATCGCCCGATGCCATTACGGCTGGATCACGTCCATCGCCCGATGCCATTACGGCTGGATCACGTCCATCGCCCGATGCCACTACGGCTGGATC